ACAACAGGTATTCCATAAGTAAATACATGGGGCTGCTATGAATAAAAAGAAGGCCAGGGCTGGGTTGGAGGGATGGCCAGGGAAGCCTTGAGGACACCTGAGCCATGGGTGAGAGGAGGTGCTGGGCTGTGAGAAGTGGAGGAGAAAATGCCATGTGGTGGGAACACCTGCAAAGATTCCAAGGGGAAAATTAGTTCAGCTAGTCGACAGGATCAAGGTACCAACACGTGTGATCATGGGGGAGAAAGATAGAAGATAATGGAGGGATGGCAGCCAACTCCTACGGGTTCAAAGCAAGGAGTCTGGATCTTATACTAAGTTTAAGTCTGAGACCAAGGGTAGCAGTAGGCAACCACTGGGGGATCTAAGCAGGGAGTGGCAGTACATGACTGACGGTTTAGGAAAGTCACTTTTGTTGCTATGATGGAGGATGGATTGGAAGAAAAGAGTGAAACCGATCGCTCAGAGCTCCACCAGTCATCCAGACAGCAAGAGTGGTGGCAGTGGGGACAGAGTCTAACTGCCCCATAGGGTTTCCTCTCTCCCTGAATGTCCAGTGGGTTCTGACTGGACACTAACCTTTTTAAACAAGTGTGAGCAGAAAAGGGGGCAGGCTGATTTGCCATCTCTTGGGGGGTAGGACTGTCAAGGCTTGCTGAATGAATGGATAGCAAGGCTGAGGGGGAGCGTGGTGTCCAGGGTGATTCTCAGTTTACTGGGCTACATGCAAATGGGGTGCCACTGGCTGCAGGCACTGAGCTCTGGAAGGAGAATGGACCAGCCTCTCCTCTTCAGATGCTCTAGAGAAAAGGTGAGGGCGGGGAAGGTAGAGGCACCGAAGGTGAGGAGAATGAAATGGAGTGCAGACATACAGGGCCTGAAGAGCTGAGCCTCTACCCTGCGGATTGGCAAGAGAAGACCAAGCAGGGGGCTCTTCCTAGAAGCGCCAAGCCTGGGTGTTGCTGGGAAGCAGTTAGGTATTAGGACTGCAGAGTCCTTTCCTTCCTCTCCCAGGATGGCTACTGAGATTCCAATCACAGGAAACAGCAGCTGTGCTTTTCTCTCTGTGCAACTACCCTACTCTCTTTACAGGAATAGTTATCAGGGACCCCAGCCCACTTCCCTATCTTGAAGGAAGCATCTGTAAGCATCCCTTTCCCCAAGTCCCTTGTATAAAATTCCCCTCTTATCTCTTAGTGATTGGAACATGGAATGTGAGAACCATGAATGTAGGAAAATTGGAAATTGTTAAGAAAGAAATGGAACGCACACAAATACTGACATATTAGGCACTGGAGAGATGAGATGGACTGGTATGGGGCATTTTGAGTCAGATGA